TTTGGAAAGGTTTTGTCAGTGTAAATATATTTTATCTATTGACTGGCTTTAAGGCATCAGGCTAGAAATCAGGAGATAGTGAATTCTAGTCCTGCCTTAAGCATGAAAGCTGGCTGGGCCATTCACTTTCTCTCAGCCCAATTCACCTGACAGGTTGTTGTAGGGAAAATAGGAGGAGAGATGAGTATTAGATATGTTTATTAAAAATAAATGAAGTTAATTTGATGGGGAAAACCTCATTGGGGGTACAGTATACAAAGACTGCCATCCTTTCAGTTAATTCCAGGTTTGATTTTGGAAGACACTCACTGAACTGAACATATAATAGCAATTTGTGTGTATGCGAACGATATTGAACATATTGAACACTATTCAACAAAATATATATCTGCACTAGTATTGTAATTAATATCGAGCAATTCATCCTGAGAGTTGATAACGCCTCTCTTAATACTACAAAGATCAGCTTTAAAATCCTAAAAGTTTCTCCTCATCTCTTTCTACAGCATTCACAGATATTGTTAACATTTGATTTCTGTGAGTTCTTTATTTTACTTTTCTGTGCCTTCTCTACTTTAGTATTTGCCTCTCTTCACTTCTGGAAGATAGAATCTATGAGTTGCACTGATAATTTTTTGCAAGTACAATCCAGATGACTTTGTAACATATATAATACAGAATAAATCAAATTTCATTCAAAATTCAAGGGTTGATGAAGGGCAGTGGTGGCTGTTATTTATATAATACTGTATTTGCTCATACCACTACAGTGGGACAAATAATAAGGATACCAACCTTTTAGAAATAAGATATAAAAATATGTTGATTCAATGGATTAAGTATACAACAATTTAACAATTTTGAAATATGCTGTTCAGAGTAAGTTTTAAACTTTATTCCATCAATTCAACTGAACTCTGCTAAAGGATACTTTAGTCAAATAACTTCCTTTATCTCTCATTATAGTAAAAAGTGAAGAACATTAAACAATTAATCTATTGGGATTTTTGATTATCTTAAATAATATGAGCAATAATCTGACAGGGGATGTGCATTCATAAATGAAATACATAAAACAATTCAATTCAATCAATGAATTAGCACACTAATTTTCACTTTTGTATGATTGCCTAACTTTGGCTTTAGGACCATTTGTTTAATGACTGTTCGAAGTGGCAACATTTGACATTTCATGGTTTATTAATGATAATGTCATTGATTATGGGGCTGGCTACAAGAGTAAGCAAGTGTATTCACACACACATAGACCATATACTATATGTTGCTTTAGAGAAAAAAGAAAATTGGCGTATAAGATAGTGTATAAAGATCTAATGAAGTTCAGTACAGAATATGCACTATTTTCAAAAAATTCAAGGACTGATTATAATTCACTTTTAGGAATAAGATATAAAAATATGTTCATTCATTGAAAAATGTGACCAGACCTTGCACTGGTTATAGCAATCCCATAGTCATATGATCAAAATTTGGTAACCAGCATGTATTTACATTGGTTGCAGAGTTCTAGGGTCACGTGATCACCATTTGCAACCTTTCCAAGGGCTTTCTGACAAGCAAGTCAGTGAGGGAAGCCAGATTTGCTTAACTCTCATGGCTAAAAAGTTAATGGTCACTTAATGACCACTTTGCTTAGTAACAGACATACCTGTCCTGTCCCAACTGGGGGTGAGGATTACCTGCAGAGCATCTTGAAAGAAAGCCTTGCACACCCCCAACCCTGCCTTAGCTGCAGCCCCAACTATCCCATGAAAGCAGAACAGGTAACAGGGGAATGATGAAGATATGATCTAGAAAGGACAGAGAGGTCAAAACCAGGGGTGGGCTTCAAAAATTTCAGCAATGGGTTCTATGTCCAGTTGCTGGGTGGGCATGGCCATGGTGGGTGTGGCCTAGTCAGCCTCTTTCACCACAGCAGGTGGGGACAACATTTTTGCCTTCCCCAGGCTCCGGAGGCTTTCCTCGAGGCTCTGGGAGGGCAAAAACTGCCTCCCCTGGGCTCCGGAGACCCTCCAGTGGCCAGAAACAGGCCCTCCCTGAGCCTCCACATGGGCCCTGCACTTACCTTCCATCCAAAATGGGCCGTGTGGAGACTCATGGGAAGGGTGGAGTGGGAGAGGTCAGCTAGGGGTGGAATTTGGAGTTTCTCTGAGCCGGCCATAACATTAGCTATGGGTTCTCCCAAACCCAGGCGAACCTGTAGCAGCCCCCCCTCCCTGGTAAAAATTGTGCTCACCTATCCCTTATGTGAACTGCTGCATATTTCATACTGAAGTTCTTTAGACCATTATTTCCCATATATTCCCTACTTCTTTTTTCTTTAAAGCAATATGTATTGTGTGTGTGTGTGTGAGTGTGTGTGTGTGTATACACTTGCTCTCGCTTGTAATCATAACCATAACCAATGACAATATCATTAATAAACCATGAAATGTCAAGCTGTAGGAACATTACTCAATCCACAGATTCACCCTTTTTTTTTTACTATAATAGGTATATATGATTGGTTTTCTTTGCTGTCCTATTTATAACTCCGTTGCTTATTAAGTCGTATCATATCTCAAGTTGAAAGCAATCAGTGAGTTCGCTACAAGAGCTTTTCTGAGCTCAGCAGTCATTAAAGGGAACTGATGAGAGAAGAAAAGGGAGAGATTAAACATGTAAGGTTCAGAGCCTCACACAAGAGCATTCTCATTTAATCTGCTGAAGTGGCACATATGATATTATTCTACCTTTTATCACTGTAATTTGAAGAATGACTAGTAAAACAACTTTCAGATATGGAAGAGCAAGTTTGTATATGAGAACCCAGATCACTAATTTAGACTATCTATTTCTCACAGTTAAGCACGCGTAACGTGTCAAACGACATTACATTAAATGCAAATGGTATAGCTGACTCTTTGATTTTTACTTTAAAATAAGCAGTCTGACTCAGGCAATCACATGAGAGAAGTGATTTAACCTCCTCCATTGTGGTTGCTTTTTGATGTTGTTCTCCCCTGGACAATTTGTGAGTATTTGTGTTTGCACAGGCACATGTATTAAATAATACCTAGGAGTGTATTTACATATGTGGATGTTTAAAAATACTGAATACTGATTGAATACTGATCAGCTCCTAGCTGGATTACTATACTGTACATCACAATAGGGTTGCCTTTTGAAGAACATTCAGAAGTTGCAGCTGGCCCAGAATGCGGCACCGCAGGCAGTTTTAGAGTGTTTCTTGTTATATTCATACAACTTTGCTGCTCTGTGAGTTGCACTGATTCCCAGTAAGTTTCCAGGTGCAATTCAAGATGCTGATCATCACCTGCAAAGCCTCTGGGGTATAGAGCTATAGTACTTGCTTTTCTTCTATTGTTTCTGCTCACCCCACCAGATTAGTAGAGGTGGCATGCTCCAGCTCTCATCTGTTGAACAATGTCATATTTTCAGATCTTGGAGTCAAGCCTTCTTGGTGGCAACACCAAGCATTCAGCCAGTTCTGACAGTTCTGGAGAACCAGTAGTGGAAATGTTGAGTAGTTTGGAGAACCGGCAAATAGGCAGGCCCCGCCCCCGCTGCCTCCCAGCTGATCTTTTGTTGAACAGGAGAACATAGCTGGAAAGCAGTTAGTGGGGCGGGGAGGGATTTTGCAGTATCCTTCCCCTGCCATGCCCATAAAGCCACACCCACAGAACCAGTAGTAAAAAAAAATTGAATCCCACCACTGGGCAACACCTACCCTGTGAAACAGCATCCCCTGGAGATTCAGGTGGCTCCATTCCTATTAGCTTTTTTTTGCAAGGCCTTGAAGATTTATCTATTTCTCCAGACCTTTGGAACAGGTGGGTAAATAAACCCTGCTGTTATCGATAGGCCTTTTCTGAGACTAGGGTTACTGTTTATCCTCAGAGGCATAGGGTTACATTTTGTGGGTCTGATTGTGCTTCAATCCTCATCAGCCTCCCAGAGTCAGTAGTGCAAGATAAGTAGCTCTACAAATCACATCATATACATAAATTGAATTATGCATTCATTGCAATATTTTTGTGATGGGTAGTCCCTTAATAGTATCTTTTTTTTTCAAAATATTTTTTGCATTTTTTTTTTCTATCGCATTTATACCTGCTGAAATTAAAGGACCTCTGCAAATTTCTCAGTTCTCTAATATATAGTGTTATCTTCCATTTTGGTTACAATTCTATTAGTGCTCGCTATCCATGTTTACTTATAGGAGATCACCATGATGAGTCATAGGGAGTGGTCAAATGCATTGTAAGTTTCAAAGCCCTTCGCACCAACAAGAGATCTAAGTCCAGCCCACCTTGAATCTCATTGACTCTTATCTACTGCCAACTCCCTTTGACCATTAGTAGTTCAGATTCTTGTAGCAATAGCAATAACACTTAGACTTATCGCTTTACAGTGCTTTTACAGCCCTCTCTAAGTGGTTTACAGAGTCAGCATATTGCCCCCAACAACTTGGGTCCTCATTTTACCCACTTTGGAAGGATGGGAAGGCTGAGTCAACCTTAAGCCTGGTGAGATTTGAACTGCCAAATTGCAGGCAGCCGGCAGTTAGCAGAAGTAGCCTGCAGTACTGCCCTCTAACCACTGCGCCACCCTGGCTTGTAGAAAGCTTAAGCTTACAATAAACCTACATATTCATTTGAACTGCCTGTACTCCTGATTTTCTATGCTTGACATTACTATAAAAATTGTTTCAAAGAAATGAAATTAGATCCTGGAAAGCCAATGGAACAGTTATATAATCATAGCTTTATTGTAACCATTCAGAATATCTGGATTATAAGGGTTAAAAATCCAAAGATGAACACATGTTAATTTTCTTCACACATTTCTACTCTCCAGAATAAAAGGTGCTCCAGCTTTGAAGATCACAGTAACTATGCATATTTATTTACTTCAGCGTAACTTAATTTTCAGGCTGGTTAATAGCGAGGGCTTAATTCTATGATTAGTCAACTTACGTAATCTTTTAGCAGCCTCAATAGCATCATTTGCAGTGTCAGCCACGAAGAATTTCTGAACTGTGACCCCATGATCAGCCATCAATTTCTTACTCTGGTATTCTTGCAGGTTTAGCCATCTTCTAGGAGTTAACTGAATACCCTAAAGATATGAAATAGAGAAAGAGAAAAATATTCAATATAAACTCTGCTATCTGAAAAAAAATTCTTATTTTGCAGGAAGTGCACTTTCTTGAATCGAACGAAAAACATTCTAAAATCTAAAAAGATATTAAAATGTGCATATTAATTTTATTGTTATTTTATACCTGCATTCTTCCAACTTAACCGTGCATTTAAATAAATTCATTGAATATTATCAGCTTTCTTCTTCCACATTTCTAAATCACAAAAATGACAGTATCAAGTTCTCCAATAGGTTACAATATTTGTGCTTGCGCAAGGAAATACTGTTATTACCAATGAAATTTGGTACCACTCTGAATTCTTGATAGGTAGTCCCTTTCTACAATTACATTACATTAGTATAGAAATGAAAATGAAATGAAATGATAAAGTAATCACAATTTTCTCATTTGAACTGTAATAGAATTGTTGTTATTCATGTTAGTTCATATTCTACGAAATCGCCATTAACACTGGATTAGCAAATACTGAAACTCAGTAGGGAATGTCACATTGGGCAATTCAAATTTTTTATCGCTTTGTATGTTGGTGAATGACTGCAAAAGCATTGTGAGTACTGATTTTGTGGTGACAAATTTTAGCAAGTAGGTGAATTTTCAAATATAAAATCTGAAAAGCAATATAATTAATTATAATACCCCAGCATCAGTTCTATCACCATGAACTTCTGACAATCAAGTATGTGAAAGCAAATGAAAGCAAAAGTCAACTTACAGAACTACAGCACTACTTAGAAATGTTTAAATTACATTATCCTTCTTGTGAAAGACATCCCCCCTTATGAAGAAATGGACTAACTTCTTTTGCAACTATCCTGCTGTTCATCACAATGGCTGGAACACCACCATTTGAAACAAAACATTTAAACCCAAATTATTTATGATGTTAATATCTTGATGTTAAACAGAGGAGTCTAAAATTGATTATTGCTAAACTATTTTGCATTTCAGAAATATGGTGTCATTCTTTGTATATATATCATGCTTTTATGCAATATTAAAGCCTTAAATATTAAAAAAAAAACTACCAGCATTTTAATTGTATTAAAAGCCTCCCATCCTAACTGTAAGACACATATGGTTTTGTAGGCTGCAATAACCGTTCACTCCCACAGAAGTTAAATTAGCCAAATTAACGACTAAAAGCAACTCCAACCTTTTTGCAGTGAATAGATGTTAAAAAAAAGTAATTGAATAATAATTTCAGAAATTTACACCACACAGTTGGATTTTAAACAGTGATGGAATTCAGCCCATCTGGACTTGTTTCAGTAGAACCGGTAGCTATATTTTTCTGGAGTTCGGCAAACTGGCTGAAGTGAGGAGCAAAAAGCCCTGCATTGCCCAGTGAGGGGGAGGAAGAGACAGCAAGGATGTCTCACTCCATGAACCCAATGAAAGGTAGCAGCAGCCCAGCCGCTTCCTTTCCCTGCCCTTTCCAGCACTGGAAGCCAACTGCCCAGTCGCCCATTAATCCCTCTGTGTGTGAGGGGGATTTTGGCCGTCCTTTCGCAGCTCAGGGAGCTGTCCAGCTCTCATGAGGCTACTGAGGTAGGGAGACAGATTGATTCTTTTGCTTTCTTTAAATTTCTTCAAATTTATTGGAGATCCAGGATGGCAAACCATCCACTTGAGGAACTGAGTTGATAACTGGGCGGTGCCTGGTGGACCAGGGCTGTGTCCCAAGAACTTAACTGACTCAGTTCAATCAACAAGAGGATAAGGTCAACCCATCCTGGATACTCCTCCCCTCACTATGGAGAACAGGTTAATCTCCAAAACTGAACACTTCAACAAGAGAATAATTATGGAAGCTATCAAAATAGAGAAACACCCCCACAACATGAATAAATGTGACAATACCTCCCGCCTACCAGACATCTGGAAACCAGCCCTAGTCAACAAATGAGCCCCACCCACCACCCAGGCCGTTACAACACGAAACAACAATGGACACACAGCTGGCACCAATCAACACCAATCTACCAATCATGATACAACCACACAACCAATCATTCCACTTACTGAAACAACGTCAGCACTCCACCCACCAAGATTTATAGAAAGATGGCAGCTCCGACCAAGCTTTAAGCCCAAAACCAGCCTGAAGATGGCGAGTGAAATGTTGCCAAGACAATCTCAATCTTACATGGGAAAAGACCCAAATACAACAAGACCAGCATACCTACGAATCTGTGTATACACACACAGTATATAATGGCCTCTAGCAAATCTGTTAATATATACATAGATGCCTTCATGATGGTTTGCAATTATAGATAGACCTACGGAGACATGGTTATCTCACATTATCTGGTTTCTTATCCAACACTCCTCCCTGATTGTAGCCTTGCCAGATAGCCTTCTACTTCCCTATATTATTATAATCATTATAATCATTGGATATTTCTTCACTCCATGCAAGAACCTCATTAATACAGCAGCTGAAAGGTAATTTTTAAAGCTCCCAAGATCTCCGTAGGTTTTCTTCTCACCCTTGATCTCTTTACAGGCCAAAGAGAAACTACTCACCAAAGACAGCCTGTGGACATTGTAATCCTATTGGCAGTGGTCTGAATGACCCATCAGAGTCACCCAACAAAAGGGAGAATGAATGATCAAATATACTATCTCTCATTTGCACCTGGCTGAACAATGATCACTGAATCCCTAACAACAATATATACATGGTGCCTGACAAACAGTGCTACTGTTCAGGATGATGATGGCAAAAATCTTTCCACACTAATTTATTCCTAGCTTCAGGGTGCCTGAACAGTGATGAATGAAATAACCAAGATATGCCCATGGAACACAAGGTTAGGAGCAGTCCCATCAATGAGAGATTGCACAACAGCAATATTTCAGGCACGTCAACATTAAAGAAACATAAAGGTTGCTGAGATTATCACTGCTTACAAAGGTCTTTGAATAATAGTTGTTGATTTTTATAACAGATATTATTACCCAAATATTTTTCAGGGTAATTGCAGTATTTATATTCTCTTTATAGATCTAATTAAGCACCTGAAGGTTACTTAATTGCAGAATGTGCTCTGAAAATTCTAACCAGCAGCTTAGTTGCTTCATTCTAAAACAGCAACATGATAACAACAGCCGAGAAAGGATATTACATAGCATATGCAAAATTACTTCATTGGCAAACAGAATGCAAGATAAGTGAAAATACTGGATTAGAAGGCAATATGCAACAGAATGCGAGCTGTTTTGCTGTGGCATTCAAGAAAGATGCTTTCCTGTGTATGATATAGGATACAGCAGTACATCGTTTCTACAAATATGTATTTCTTTTCCTCGCTTTCGCATGCATAGACAAAATAGGAAATTCATGGGCTGAATTAATCAGATTCATTCCCCAGGTTTTTAATTGGGCTGAGATTATCCCTGCACAAAAGAGACTGAGCTACCCAACTGCACAACGTCTGCTTCTTGTTTTAAAAAGATAAAAGATCGAAGCGAATGGGAAAGGAACCTATTAGCAGGCATCTCTACTGAGGTTAAGGAGAGGACATTAGACTTCCTCTCATGCAACAAGACAGAATGGCTATCTGTTGAGAGTCATTCAGAGCAAGCCACCCAAAGGAGTTGAATGGAAGTTGGCTCAAGAAGAGTCAAGGGAGTGGCTTTTGTTGGGTCAAGCTGGACACAAGCTTAATGGTTGGCAGCTTTTTCAGGATGAGGGCTCCATTTGGTGTTTGCCTGAGATGCTAGGAGCCATTCTTCAAAAACACGACTAGATAGGCAATTTATTAATCCACATTTTTTATTCCTTTTATAAATAACTCAAGAACATACCTATATTCCTTCCTTCTCCTGTTTTCCCCACAACAACCCGCCTGTGGGGTGGGTTGGCTTGGGGAGAAACCACCCAGCTGACTTTCATGCATAAGGTGGGACTAGAATTCACCAGCTCCTGGTTTCCAGCCTAGTGTCTTCACCACTACATCAAACTGGCTCTTAACCACTAAACCAGTGATGGCGAACCTTTTCGGCACCAACTGGCCAAACCAGATCGTGTGTGTGTGTGCATGCGCACGCCAGAGCCCCAGAAACTCGAAGATGTGCTGGCCAATGTGCATGCACATGTCAGCCATCTTGTCCTTTGGTTTCCGGCATGCACATGCCAGCTGGTCTTCAGGTTTCCAGGGCTCCAGCACACGCTAAGATCACCTGGCTGGTGCACAAGCATGCACCGGAATCAGAAGTGCAGCTGCTGACGGCGCATGTGTCTACAGAGAGCGCTCTGCGTGCCACCTCTGCCATAGGTTCACCATCACAGCACTAAACCAAACCACTGACTAAATGGGGCTTAAAGAATTACTAGGGTTGATTTAATACAAAGTTTAGTTTGACAATATACTTTAAACACATTGAATCAAATGCAGTTAATATTTACTGTTTAATTAATATTTTCTCGTTAGTGTGGTATTTTAGAGAGAGAGATCAGACAGCTACTGTTCAAGCATTTAAAGGACAGGTTCTGGATCCTCAAATTGTGTACCTTTATCCTCAATAACTCTTTAGCAAAAAGACTTTTGACAATTCCTCCTACACTTTTGTTACAGCTTTGTTGCATTAATTTCCCATTAATTAGATCAAAATCAGATAACTTTGGTTTTAATAACAGTTTATGACCCTATAAATTAAATAGTGCTGTCACGAGCTAAATCATCATTAATGATGATTAAACCACTACCCTATTTTGAATATATTAAAAAAAATCCCCTTGGATTTAAATTAAGCAAGAAAGGCTAAACTCTACAGGCAGAGCTTGGAGAACTGCAAGAGAAAGGAGACAAAAAGGCACCAGGGGCTTAACTCTCATTCCCACGCTTTAACAAACCACAAATGTTATGTCTAAATTAGTCTGCTGTCTCACATCCTCCCAACTGCAGCAAAATGCCACAGAACAACTGTTCTCACTAAGCAAGTTAGG